CCTCCTCCTCCTCCTCCTCCTCCTCCTCGTCCTTCTTCTCTAACTTTGAGATAGGGTCTCTCCCTAAGTCTCTAAATTACCGAGGCTGGGATTGAATCCACGAGTCTCCCACCTCAGCCTCCCAGTATACAGGTGTACACCACCATGCCAGGCTCTTAGAACTTCTTAAATCCTGCCTTCCTTGTCAGGTTACCTTTTCATCCTCCAGCCACCCCTGGGTGCACAGAGTCCTCTGACACATCACACCTCTCTGGCTTCCATTTTGGTCCATCTCATCTGCTTTACTCTTTTTACTGCATCTCCCCGACTCTAGCCAGAGAAAGCTCTTTAGTTTTATTTAAAGGCACAAGTGATTAGATTGGCCCCATCTGCATAACCCAGGGCAGGCTTCCTATTTAAAATCTATGACCGCCAGGCATGGTGGAGCACACCTGTAATCCCAGCACTTGGGGAGGCTGAGGCAGGAGGATCCCTATAAGTTTGAGACCAGCCTGGGCCACATAGTGAGTTCCAGGTCAGTCTCAACGACACAGTGAAAACCTGTCTCAAAACAACAACAAAACAAAAGAAAAAAGCCTATGACCTTATTACATCCCCAAAGTCCATTTTGCTGCATGGGTGACACAGTCCAGGTTTCCCGAGATTAGGGTCTGGACTTCCTCCCAGACCTTTATTCTGCCTCCCTCAACATGGAGTGACAGGAATGGGCCCGAGCTACAGAAGGGAAAGCTTCAGAGGGGGCGAAGGTTCTGGTGGTGAGGTCCAGGAGTGCCCACAGGGAGGGGGCTAGGGGAATCGCTTTGGCGGCTCCAGATTGGTGAACCAAAAGGCCTGGTGTTAGGGCAACAGCCCCCTGGACACTGGGGTCAGTAACAGTAATCACACAGCGGGAGTGGAGGAAGAGGCTGTGAGTGGTTAAATGCGCTACCACTGGGCTTCATCTCCAGCCCTACAGCTATGCTCTGTGTGTGTGTGTGTGTGTGTGTGTGTGTGTGTGTGTGTGTGT